CGTGCCCGTTTTAAGAAGAGGGTAAGCCGACGCGACCGGCGCCAGCTCTTGACCCGTCCTCAGTGGATCAGCGCTAATATGGAAGATCACCGCCTCGAGCATCTCGTTCGATTAGGGCAGAGCCTCGAACGGACCACTGCGCGCCTCCGATGGTCGTTTAAGCGAGTCGCAGATTGGGAGCGCGTACAAACAGTTACGAATATCGTTCGCATTCATGGTCCGCCCTTTAGGCGACACCTATCCATTGCTGACAAATTCGCTTCGGAATGGTCACCAGTTCTTAGTGCCGTGCATCGGGTGGAACCCTTGGCAGCTTTACCAAGAGCGTTGCTTGACTTTGTGTCAGTGCCTGACGATCGCTTGATTTCTCCCGCTGCTAATAATGGGCTGATGGTTGACGTCACTGAGACTGAAGTCCTTCACGCCATCACCGAGCTTAGCCGTCACAAAGCTTCAGGGCCGGACGGTCTTAACAATGACTTCTACAAAGATACGTCCGCTATACTGGCTCCGGCGCTGGTGCACGTGTGCAATCAAATATTGCACGGTTCTCCTATGCCACCTTCCTTTCTAGAAGCGATGATTATCCCTCTTCGGAAAAAGGGTGATTCGCCGGACGCACTTGACTACAGGCCGATCTCTCTGCTCCAAACCAGCTACAAAATTTTTGCGAAAGTGCTGGCCTCCCGACTACAGCGCGTCTTACCTACACTCATCGGGGAATCGCAACAAGGTTTTGTTCGAGGTAGACAAATGCAAAAACTGGTCATGATGATGACTGCCCAACTCGCTTCAGCGGAGGAGAGGGCGGATCTATCAGCCGACTTAAGCCGATCTATTCTCTTACTTGACTTTCGCAAGGCGTACGACACTGTGGACCGAGATTTTCTATACGCGGCATTACGAAGCTTTCAGTTTGACGAAGTGTTTATTACGCTCGTCACCCGGATGCATACCGGAACAACCGCTCGGTTTCTGGTGAATGGGGAACTTTCTGAACCAGTTCCTGTCCGGTCCGGAATACGTCAGGGGTGTCCTCTCGCACCGCTTTTATTTCTACTTGTGGTGGAATTACTTGGGCTGGCTATTCACCAGGCGCCCTCCATCCGGGGTATTCCGGTGCCCGGGGCCTGCGAGGTGGTGCATACATTCTCCGCGTTTGTGGACGACTCCACCATATTCCTTGAGCATGCCAATCAGTTGGCGCCTGCGTTGGAGCTAGTCTCTAGATTTGGACAACTCTCGGGCCTTCATGCCCAGCCTGCCAAGAGCAAATTGATTTTTTTAAACACGGCTATCAGGCTACACCAGTATGGTGGCATCTCAGTCTTACAACACAGAGAGACAACGCGATACCTGGGGTACGAAGTGGGGACAGGGGCATTATTCGATCGAAACTGGGCGCTTCGGCTTCAGAAAATCCGTCGGCGGCTTCTCACTGCAGCGAAAGTAGCGACTAGTGTGCAAAATCGTGTCCTCATTCTTAACGCGATCATTTTACCGGCTATCCTGTTCACCGCGGCCGTCTTCGATGTGCCGAGCTGGGCGAGAACGGAGATATCTCGGCTGTACCGCCAATTCCTGTGGGCGCACGCTTCTGTGCCTGCCGTACGTCGGCACAAAATTAACCCGGGTCTCCTCTTTACGCCCCAGAAGGCAGGCGGGGTTGGTCTGGCCTCGTTCGAAGTAGCCGTCAAAACTCAGCGGACGAAGCACGCGTTGCGGTGGCTAACGCAGCCGCATGACAAATATTTTACAGCGTGGCGGCGCTGGACATATAGCGTGGGAGGTTCCACATCGGCTCTCGTCCCGGCGCTCCATCCGTCTGCTTCAACAACGTTTGACATCAGGCGAGGACCTGGTCGTTCCTCTCTGGCGCAGGATCTCGAACGGCTCCTAGCACCCTCCCCTGAACAAGTGCTGTCGATTCGGGCCAGATTGGACGCGCATCACGCTCGAATGTCTGTCGGGGCGAGCAGTCAGTGGGACGGTGACGAATGGTTAATTTCATACCATCAAACGTTTCCTGACCATCCCGCTGTTGCTGATCACCGGATGGATACATTAGCCGCTATCTGGGGCCGCTTTCACTGGGATGGCAATCCTTGGATTCAAGGGCCAGACGGCAAGCCCCTAGAGCGGGCCAAATATGCCCGGATACCTCCATGTTCACTGCGCAGTCTGTGCATTCGGCGACTGGGGTCACATGAATTTCAATTTACGTTCCCGTCTCTCGGCGGTACTTCGTCTCGGCATATGCATTGTAAATTACAACGTTGGGCGACTTCGATCCTGCTCTCGTCACCCCACCTTGCTGTCGGTGCGGGACCGGTAGAGCCCGGGCTCGTCTTACGTCATCCACCGCCGTTTCGGCGCGCTTATAAATGGTCCCGGGTGCGAGCTGATTTAATTGTCGGGTCCTGTCGGGACCCTGTCGAGTCCGCGAACTCGGCGATTCGCCTCCGCCAAGATGCCAATGGAATCCATTGGTCGATTGACGGGAATTTACCAGAATTACGGGGGTCGCCTCAGCAAGTGTCTAACTACTGGGAGCATTCGTACCATCGTACCTTGGTGTTTCATGCCCACCCGGAGCTTCACCGTTTCCCTTGTAGTGTGCCAGAGACGGTGGCCAATGTAGATGTGTGGACAACGCTTATGAAGCAAGCGTTTCACGTTCATAAACGCCTTCTGCACCCTGGCCTCCAGTCCTGGTTGAAGGCCTATGACGCGCAGGCGGTATCGAATAGTTGGCAGTCAGCTGCATCAAATCAAACGCCTTCCCAAGTTTGGAAACACGCAAACGGGCTAACGGAGTATCAAGTCTGGACATGCTATCGTATCGCGACAAAGCAGCTAAATCTATACCATGCCGGTCGCACGCTGGACAACAGTTGTCGTACGGTGCTGCACTGCCGGGGACGCAAAGAGACAGCGGCGCACATTTTCTGGGAGTGCCCAATCGCGCAAGCGTGTTGGTGTCACTTGATAGGACACTGGACCGGTGGGGGTGCGACGAACGCAGTTCTTTCCACCTTCTTTCAGCACTGCGCCAATCGCAAAGCCCCGCCCATTCCACGTCAGCTGAGTTTGCGGTTGCAATGCCGTTTTCAAGATGACTCTGACGCCGCAGCAACAGAATTCGAACGGATCTGGTTCATATTAAGCTCCATCTGCCAAGAACATTTGTGGACCGAGCGGAACTCGGCGGTCTTTAGAGGAGCCGTGACTACTCCATCCGCAAGTGTCCAAATGTACTGGACACGCGGTGTTCGCCAGCTACGGGCAATTGCAATACGCGAGCATCGAGCCGCGGCTACGGCCGTACGAGGGGCCCGACTTCATGCCTGTCTTGAACTTCCGATTCAAGAGCCCCGTGGACACCCGCCCTACGCGGGTGTCAGCCACGATCCGCTGCCGCGACCGGCGCTCATATCCTGGCTCAGGATTTTTCAGACCTCTTGTCCACATTAAATATGTCAATAGATGATCATGAAACTCCTCCACTCCTCCTCATCTCTTTGTTGATATGTTGCCGAATATTTGGCAACGACATCGACAATTTTCCCGTCACAGCTGCGCTTGTAATGATGTATCTATGCGCGCTCAAAATCGTTCCTGCTTACAATAGACTTGGTCGCTGCCTCCAGCGTTCATAAATCCACACTCAATGGAAAAGCATGCACTTTTTGATCAGACGGCTCGATTGAATGGACCCCAGCCGCTTCCAATGCAAATCATTGAGCTCGGGGCTGTCCGCTCTCTATCGTCTCTCAAGTTCTGCTCGATTCAATGTGCCAGAGCCGTGTTAAGTGCAAATCATTAAACTAGGTGCTGCCTGCGCTGTATTGTCTCTCAAGTTCTGCTCGATTCAATATGCCAGAGCCGTGTTAAGTGCAAACCATTGGACTGGATGCTGCCTGCGTTCTTTAGTCTCTCGATTCTGCGACCCGCCGTTATCCAACAAATCCCATCGACAGGTCGTTGCTTCTACCGATCATCTCTCAAATATTGGCGCGCGGTGTCTTTCCTCAATGAACATTTTCTGCATAGCTGTTGGCTCTGTCTATTGAGTCTAGTCGTCGCCATCGCTTGTTGGCGAGACAAGATCTCTAACTCGCTGATACAATGAGTCCACCTGTAGAGCACCAGCATCCCTCAGGACTCTCGCCTCACAGAACCTTCGCTGCAGTACGCTTCGGCTTTCGATAACACGATGCCACTTTTGGCCAAAGCGCAACCTGTCGATTTGTAATGTCGCACACAGAGACATTTCATGCACAGTCAAGACGGCTCAAGGGTGATAGGGACCTTTAAGTAGCCTGGTACGTAAACTGGAGCACCACCCGCACGATCTGGCTCGATTGCTTCGACGAACGGCCGCTTAGTAGCTGGGCACAAACCGCCACAGCCTGACGCCATGTCTTATCGCTGGGCACGTACGTCTCGGTAGCTCGAAGACCTCGGCACAAAAGAAAAGCGATGCTCGAGCTGTGTGACGCCACAAATTGTGCACAGTGTGTAGCTGTGACGGCTGGCCGACAATACTACCCGGATTTATGTTTTCGACTGCATGTACTCACATGGACGGTGCAACGTATATTGAATAGCGTAAAGGAGGAGCAGCTGATTTTTGGGTGCGAATAGACGAAGCCGTTAACGGCAGTATTCTGATCCGACCAGCTGCACGTAGGCTGCCACCGCACAAGTTTGCCCACAACATGTCTGCATCCACGAGCTTTATTTGCAGCTCATACTATAAGGTGAATCGATTTGATTACTGCAGGCTTGCGCCAACTGGTCCGAACGTCGCACGACTATTGTTCGACGACGGGTACCGAATTTCCTGCCACTGTAGCACAAAATATCAGGTCTGGACAGCGCTTATCAAGTGACAAAGATTGAACCACACTGTGCCACTGGACCATCCCGCCAACCAATTTCATTTAACAATTTGCGCCCTACTGCGAAGTCTCCTTTGGCCGCTCTGTCACTCCGTCATGAAGCTCCTATACCTTCGTGCGCTCGTCGTCAGTGGCGTGCTAACCGCCATGTTCTATGACGCTTGCGGTGGCTCTGAACGTGAGGCACCGGCACCTGGTGCTCATGCACTCGATCACGAGACGGTGAAGACGGCACTGAGTGCCCAAGCTACCACCAGCGCCGAGCAAGAAGATCGAGGGTGGAAGAATGTCGACGTTGTCTCTTTCCTCCATGGCTTGGGTCCAGCCAAGTTCGAGAGGGATTTTCTTGCTAGTACCACCGCCAGAGTCGGCTACATCTTCAAGCGTGGAGGTGTCCGTGAAATACGAGCTCCATTCTTCTTCGACGGAACGGACGAAAGGGTAGTGAGTTGGATGGCCTTTTGCCTGTTTCCTCATCTCGTCGCATCCCGAAAACCGGACGTTCTTACGGTCGACTACATCGCCAGCATACTGGCCGAACTGGACCCGTTAAGAGCGGCAGCCGTGCTCCAACATGCGAGAAAGGGAGAAGGGACAGAAGCATGGGCTCATGATGTTGAAGCAGCGCTACCCGGATGGCACAAAGCAGCATTGAGACAACGGGGGTATTCTGATAGTCCCTTGGTGAAAAGTAAGTACGAGAAGCATGCACTTAAACTGGCCTTTTACACAAAGGTCGTTCAACTATCGTCGTACTCTGAATGGTTGTTCAAGCCAACAGCCAAAAAGCGGGTTACCTCACAGCTGAAAAAGGACATCGCTGACGAACTTCGCATACTGCCAATTGCCGATGCTGCAATCGTGGTTCAAGTTGCGAAGGAAGCTACGGAGACGCGTCAACTTGCTCTGTACGCTCGGAAACAACTGTTTGGTCGGCTCAACGGTGCGAGTATTGATCCTGATGACTTGGAGAAGGGTTGGTTGCCGGCGGCGAATTATTTTGGTGGAAACGGTTACGGGAAACTGGTAAAAGCGTTTGTTGACGATTACAAGAAGTGGTATATGTGGATGAATCCCATGTTTGGATGAAGGCTCCTTTGTTGGTTTGGTGAACCAGGCCGCTACATCATAGCTTATATTTTTTTTCTAATACATTATTTTGCTTTTGTTCATCGGTCTTGTGTTTTGAGTCTTATGCTTTGTCAAGCACACGTCACCTGCATGATTTCGCACGGATTTTTTGTAGAACACATATGAACTACTATTAGCATATCGAACATCCCGTAAATAAACGAACGCACCTTGACCAAGATGTGTGGCCTACGACACTTGCCACAGAAGGATGCAAACCCATACTTCTGTAAGTGATCGTAATATAACGATTATATTGCGGTGAAATAAGTAATAACATACAGAGATTTCTTACGTTCACTGCTGTCCATCGAACAGGAGATATGCTGCCGCAGTGTCTGCCTGGGTTTGAATATGACCTGAATCGAGAATGTTACATAGCGCCATTAAAGCACGTTAGTACATCTCACAACTTTCCTCAAAATGACATGGTACACAAAATCATCAATTTCTTCGCTTCCAGTAGCTTTGCCGCGTATTATTCAATCCATACTTTAGATCATCGTACGGCGTGAATTGGTATTAGTGTAAGCTGTTGCACTATTGGAAGTTGCAGGGCTGCGCTTAAGAAGTGTACTTATACTATTGAGTTTGCATGTAACAGGGTGAGCCCGTTGCTTGTCATTGACGCCAGATTGGTCATTATATATATCGTCATGATGATGATACTTCTATAACATATATTTAAACAAGTAAATGTTGTAGGAAAAATCGCCTTTGAAGGTGAGATGCAGCACAGCTTCGCGTAATGGGAATACAGGCCATCATGTGATTCAACTTGAACACCAATCTCTGCTGGACATGAACCAGGGAAGGCGTATGAGCGACTTCATTTGACATTTGTTAATTTGTAATGAAAGTCCAATCAAATAATATATTATAAGTAGAATTTGCCACATTAATTACAATTCTACTGTTTTACTTTGACTGAGCGTGTTCGTTTGGAAGACTTAATCTTCCTCTGCACGTACGTTTTGAAACACTTACCTACCCTACGTCAGTGTAGGTAGCATGTACTGTGTCGGTCATACAGAGAGTGCCCCATTACACTATGTCGCTTTATCATACTAGCAACCAGCGCGCCAAGAAGTCACGCTTCTCTCATATCGAAGGGATAGCCATGTCCGCGGATGACTTCAAATTCACAATCTACGAGCTCTCAGAAGTACCCATATTCACTAGATTCATGCTTTTCAACCATTTTACTGTTCAATGGTGTATGTAGAGGAGCTACGATAGCTCCACCTTGCCAGATGAAGGCCTAATCTCAAAAAAGCCACTCAGTTCTCTGACTAAAATACATGAAAGCGTCAACCAATTCAACATACGACAACTTTTGAATTTAAATTTCGTAAGCAATTACTTGACGTACAATCGGGAGCTAATAAACGTAGACTCAACAATAACCAGGCCTACAAATAAAGAATATAGAGAGGTAAACGGAACAAAGTGCTCATTTGTTTGTCATACTGAATCACACTTCCCTCAAGGCGAATAATGATAACATATGTTGATTAGGTATTATAGCGATTATATAATCTTATCTCAGTACATATATGTAAGGATTTATTTCCAACTGGAGTAAGACCTGGTCAGTGTTATTCGCTGCCCCACCGTATACGTGTCCGCTTAAGCTAACGTGCTTATTGCTACTAATTTTCATATCCTGTACACCACAGCGCTTACGGATCCATGCACTGCGATGTCATATCAACAAATATCAATCCTCGAGTGTCCATAGTAAGTTGTCATGTATCTCTACCACGATATCGTGCCTGCTTTACGTACAATTGCGATGTATACTTATATTTGATATGGCATAAGCCTCTTCCTCGTTAATGAGATGATAGAAAGGAAGTTTCCGTGATTTGTGGTAAAATACCAAGCACACGTGTTTCAATTGACGCGTCTTTCAGCACAACAATGAGGTAAATCCTTTGTTTAAACTGCGATGAATAAAAAAAGACAGGTTCATGATCCAAAAGTATAATAAAATAATTATACAGATGACAGCTGTTCTGCAATTTCTCAAATATGCGTCGTCATTATCATGTATGGCAAGCCGAGAGCATGTGCCCCGTTCTTATTAATTATCATAATGATGAAACAATCCATTCTCTCACACCTTGACCCTTATCCTTCTTCAGCATAAATTATCTCATGTCCATCTTTTGAAACGGCAGATTTTGTACCTGTCAGTTATTACCCTGGAAAATAAAATTTTATATTATAGTTGGGTTCGTAAAAGGTATTATGGTAAGCTTCGGTTCACTTGACGATAAAGAATGTGTCATGCCATGGTCTTTGATCCAATACGATATAGAACTCTATCGCGCTTACATTATACGGTACGACGTTATATCGTGTCGTTGAACAATCATGATAACCACCTCCATCGTAATATTTAGAATGGTGAATTCTCGAAGTGCCTATCACCGGCGGCATATAGCATAGTGTCCCACACTTATTCGATCATAATGATATCAGAAACAAAGAGGCAAATGCTCTGATTTATATGCTTCTTTATAATACAGTCTTTACTTCATGATTTATCGAACCTATTTATGAATGGTAATCGGCCGTCAAAAAAGGTTCCGAAGGACGCTCACCAACCATAAGTACAACTGTACGTGCTTCTAGATTACGACATTCGATTGATGCTTCAAAAATACGCTTTCGCAGCTTTTCATTTATATTCCATCGCTAAGCGTATAATCATCACCGATAAAATTTATATTATCACGCGTTAAAAGGAATAATGCGCACCTATAATACACGTATGGCTAATCAAAATAAGATTTTACGCATTAAACATACTATTATGGCCATGTAGTTTAAAAAGATTGACCAAATTACTTGCGCACAGAGCCTCAAAACATTATCTTCAAATCGCCAAATAATTCATCTCATGAAGTGCTAGATAAAAAAGCAGCTTTCAATTTGTATTTTTGAAGCAGGAAAAGGCTAGCTAATATCCGTTTACATCGTGGAAAGGCAAACGATCATAGACCGTAGCGCTAAGAAATACTATGTATTCGATTTCGTTAAGCTTTATAGTAAGTGACAAGGGTAATTGGCAAACGGTAGAAGCCATGACAATATATAGTTATACGTAAAAAGCAGGTATTTGTAGAGCTGAAGAATATTTTCGAATACAAGTAGCACATGAATTGATTATAGTTCTACTTTATTTTAATGGACAGAACTCGGTCAAATTGTGTTTCTAATCGAGCACTAAAAGCCGCAATAGGTTAAACAAATAAGAAAGATTCTGTGTTTAAAAGATATGTATGTAATCGGATACTTTGTATATCGAACGTGGGGTCCTACAGGCGAGTTTAGCACCAGAATTAAGAGCTCTAGATTATGGCGCCATCAGAGGAATAGCCAAGATAGCAGGTTGTTACTCTAAGCATTCAAAGGGCATATCATTCAAGCTAAATTAGGTACATGAATTGGACGATAGGGAAAACCCTGCAAGCCTTTCGAACAGCTTGGCGATGAAGTAAAAAAGCTAAATTACTCAGTGCATATTGTCCTAGTTCCTAGTGAATACTAATACCGACACTTTATCATGTACATGGATTTCATCATTTTCGAGTTCAATTGTAGCAGCTATAGTTTGTGTAGGTATCTACTGGCAGCGACGACAGTTTTAACCGGCCCTGAGTGGACACATCCGATCCAAGTTTAGTGGCAGACTTGTTTTATACGAGAAATTTATCCATTAGGCATCAAATGATTGCTCATCGTTGACTTACGATCATGCGCAACCTATGAAAGAGTACACATATATATATAAGAGATTATTTGTTTGAAAAGACCGTTTTATACATTGATAAGATGGTCAACGCCTATAGTTTAATTGTCATAAATTTGCCAAGGTAAATGCCGTTGGGCTTCAGGTACGGAAACATATCTCTACAAGTAGTTGTACAATGCGCCAGCGAATGATATTTGATCATAAAGGCATATCGTTGGCTCCGTTATGAAAAAGGAGGCTGCTGGAATTAGGCTGATTTCTCGATAAAAGGGTTGCGAGGTTAATTTTACATAAACTCGCAGACGAATCCAAACAGTAGCATTAAATATTTTTTCCATTCCGACGGTTCAACTTATGTGATGACAATACATGGTAACACTTTTTTAAGCGCTTAAACTGTATTTTTGATGTTGTAAAAATTTACTACAGATAGCAATACCACGACCATAAATGTCAAAATATGTTGTGTTGTCGATCCGCTTTCACGTAAAAAATCAATAGGCATAATAATAGTTTAATCACGAAAAGGACACGCCTCTGGTGACTATTAAACGATAGTTGCGCAAGAGATGCGAGCAAGTTAGATCCGAGAGATCCAACCTAAGGGCGGAGGATAAGCAATCATTGACTAAACACATTTAATATAGCTGACACTGACATAAAGAAAATTAGATATTATATAAAGCTTATCGGATTTTACAAGTCGCATTCACCTACCTGTGACTACGGAATAGAATAACCTGAATGAGTAGAAGTATTTGTGTGCTACATTATGGTCGCGGGAGTCATTCACGCGGTAAATGAACCATTGAAGAAGACGCAAGTCAAAGATGTCAAGTAGAGCAAGACGATCTCTCGTAAATTTACGTCAATAGTTTTATAATTCGTTACGAGCTCTACGTCTTCAATAAATATTGGTTTCCTTCGCTAAAAATATTTTCCGTGGAGAAAAGCAACATATAAATGGACCAGTAAATCAGAACGTAAATTACACCTAAGATGACTCATCTATAATATATAATTAACTCGAAAAGTTGCAAGGTATCATTTATTCCTATCTATCTCCTGTACTTTACCAATGCAACGCAAGATAACGTTAATACGTGAATATAGATAACGTTTATATGTGATCCATACAACCTATAAATATATTGAATGCACTAATTTGTGCCTCGTTGGTGGTGATGTGTTTATG